ACTTTCTTGTTTTTGCTGAAAACTCACCCTAATATATCTTCTAAAAACAAGGACATTATTCTACATTAGTATAATTCCATCATCATGCCATTTTTTTTTTCAGTGCTAGGGCTCTACCAGAGACGCATCTCCAGCCCATCATGAAAAATGTCTAAGAAATTCAACAACTGATATGTTACCTAATATGTCAAGCACATAAATTCAAATTTATCCAGTTGTCCCTCATTTCATTTATAAGTATTACCCTTTCAATTCAGAATCCAGTTTAGGATCACATCTTACATTTGGTTGTCATGTCTTTTTAAGTGTGTTTTAATACAGGAGAGTCCCTCCCTCTACCCCTTCTTATTTCGTGACACTGTAATTTATGAAAGGGCAAAGCCAATTATGACGTACAAAGTTCCACAAAGATTTGGATTTGTCTGTTTCCCAATGTTTCAAACATTTTTTAAAAAAATGTGAAATGGAATATTACTCAAGATACTCTGTGAAAAACTATCACAGAGGTGATGTGGTATACTTCCCATTTCCTCAAAATGAGCAGAAGCCTGGTGCAGTAGCACACACCTATAATCCCCAGGCACTTGGGAGGCCAAGGTAAGAGGAATATAAGTTCGAGGTCAGCCTCAGCAATTTAGCAAGGCCCTAAGCAACTTGATGAGACCCTCTCTCAAAAAAAAAAAAGGGGGGGGGGGGGCTGGGGATGTAGTTCAGTAATAAAACACCCCAGGTTCAATCCTCAGTACCAAAAATAGGGGGACCATGCAAGACAGCCTAAAGCCAGGTGGCCAACTGCCCACTACCTCAGTGAAACCCACAGATCTCAAGAGAGATTCTGAGTCTTATGAATGAGAACCTGCTAGTTCAGTTTTGAAGTGTGAAGCCATCTGCTGATTGGGGAGCCACATAGCTTTCCAGTTTATACCACTTTCCATAACACCAGAACCTGTTGAAATTTGATTCATCTACATCATGCCTTTGGCTGGCTGAGACCCATTGTTCCTTATCCTAAGTATCTGACTACATGTGGCAGAGGATTAATTTCTCTATTTAGTTCATTCAACAATGACTCCAGCTTTGTTTTAATAAATCAAGGCTCATAAGGCACAATGCTTGTTTGTGAGGAACCTGAGATTTAGTGGGAAACATGTTCAGAGACAGAGCCGCTAAATTCAGACAGTGGGGGTGGGGGGGAGCACACGGCATATGCCTGTAATTCTAGTGACTCAGGAGGCCAAAGCAGAAGGATCAACAGGTTCAAGGCCAGCCTAGGCAACTTAGCAAGACCCTGTCTCAAAAAATAAAAAGGGTGGGTGGGGGTCGTAGCCCAGTGGTTGAGTGCTTTCCTAACATGTATGAGGCACTGGGTTAGATTATTAGCACCAAATAAAAATAAAATAAAGGTCCATCAACAACTTAAAAAAATAGTAAAAAATAAAAATAAAAAAGGACTTGGGGTGAAGCTCAGTGGTAGAGTGGCCCTGGTTTCAATCTCTATTACCAAAAAAAAAGAGGTGGTGGTAATGGGGAGGGGTTGGCTTTCAACAGGGCCTTAAAATACAGAAGGATGTAAGGAGGTAGGTGGGGATAGAGTAAGAAGGGTGGGTGCATTTTAAGTAGAAAAGTGAAGGAAAATAGCTAGAATCCCCTTTGCACCAGCACAGTGTCCAGTGTTGAGCTGATGATGATTGTCTTGTCATAATGCAAATAAATTTCAAAAGGTCCTAAACATAGTCTCTTCTCCTAAGGACACATGCTTTTGTGTGATGACTGCAGATTAGCTGTGTCCTCCTCAGCTGATCTCTCCCAGGACCATTTGCATTCCAAGACTGATCTGACCTCATCAAGTCAAGAACCACAGTTCTCCCACTAAAGGAATTTCAAACAGAAGGAACAACTGGAGAGATTTGTATGTGTGTGTATGAAGGGGCCCTCCAGTGAAAGTGCTTGACCTTGAAAATCTTTATCTACAGATAACAAACTTGGCTGGGCAAGATGTTTTTTCAGTTGCAGTCACACTGACAGCTGTACAGTTACCATGTTCCCTGGGCAAATGCCAGCTTAGGGCCCTACACTCCTCCCCCAGCAAGCAGTGATAATCAACTTGGAGTACAAGGGTCTGTACTCCCATGCTCATTAAAATATGCTGCCCCGTTCTTAAAGCCATTCAGGGTGTTGGGGGTGGAGTTGGCACACGCAGGCCCTTTCCTACCTGTCCAAGCTTCTCCTGGGCCCTGTCTTCCCTCATCGGGAGGGTCTGGGGACCTTATAGGGGAGGCACTTGCCCTGCCCCAGAGATAGAAGCCCTGAACCAAACACTACTCCACCCCTGTAAGAGACAAGCTGGGGTTTAGGACACAGGTTCTACTCTCTGCCTTATTACCAGTTTTGTGAGCTGGGATGATACCTCTCTGATCCTCAGTTTCTTCATGAGGTATTAGGTCCTCAATTATCTGGAGGGGGCCATCTCAGCTCTTCATAGTCTCTAACAAGTGAATGATATGGAGAAGGGGAAGAGGCAGAAGCTTACAGACAGAATTGAAGGCCAGAGTGGAGGGCAGGAAGGACCAACTTGCCTTCAAGGCCTTACTTCATAAACAACAATTTCCTCAGGTGACCGAAGTTTCCTCAGACACCAGCCTTTTTTCTAGAAAAAGCCGCGCAGCTGGATCTGAGTTATCCCTACCTCAACCTCCCTAAAGGGAAGTTTTTTTCCCCTGGACTCAGATCTTCTCTGGAGCAGGAAAAACAGCACTGAACGCCCCTCATTCGCTCAGGCTGCTGGCTCCAGAACCAGTCAGAATTTTGTGTTTTTGCGTGTTCAGCCATCCAGGTCGTTCACCCCCTTGCTCCCCAACTCAGACGGAACCTCCACGTCCCTCTACAGCTATGCCTCCTCACCCCCTGCCAATTGTACTCCCTTGGTAAACACCCCCGCTTCCCCAGCCAAACCCTTCCAGGCCCCTCAGCCATGGACTCTGCAGAAATTGGCACCTGGCTCTCCCCAGAACTCAGCTTCCACACAGCTGTTCATTTTCTCACTCTTCAAGGTCAGACTCAGGGTCACCAGCCTCCCTGATCCCTAAGACCATGCCCACCTTCCTCCTGATTACTGCCATTACATAAAGGCCTTCTCCTCACGCAAACATGCCTAAGTGGCCTTTGGATACTCTGTCCCTTGACCTCATCTCCAAAGACCTTCCTCCCCATTCCATTTCAGTCATACCCTCCCACAGGCAGAACTTTCTGACACCAGGATTCCAGACATTGCACCCCCTTGTCCTAATCTCCCAGCCTCTGGCTAATGACACCCATCACACGAAGGGCTTCCTCATCAGGGCTTCGAACCCATTCACTTCTCCATTTTCTCTGTCACCAGCCCCCTTTGGCCTCAATGTCTTCCTAACTAGCTTGAATTGCATGCTCCATCACTTCAACCACCCTCCTGTTCAACTCCCTCAAATCACCTTTGTTTTCCTGAACCTCTTCTGGATGAGTCCAACTCCCTTTTGCTGAGCTGACCTCGCAATGAAGAAAAGCACAGCCTAGGGGCTGGGGATGTGGCTCAGACGGTAGTGCGCTCGCCTGGCATGCGCAGGGCACTGGGTTCAATCCTCAACACCACATAAAAATAAAATAAAGATGTTGTGTCCACCGAAAACTAAAAAATAAATATTAAAAAAAATTAAAATTTAAAAAAAAAGCACAGCCTAGGAGAATGGGGCCTACAGGTCAAGGACCACCCACCTCAGCACTGCCAAACATCCCTCTATCCATGGGGCACACAAACCACCTAAACAGAACCCTAATCCTTCCTCTACCTTCTTGGAAGCCTTAGGCCATATTTTCTACTCTTTTTTCCTCTATAGACAGGCTTTCCTCTGACCATAAACTTTAAACACCTTCTTTTGAGGATCTGTCCTCCACTTTATGACACTTTCTGCCTCCATTTCCCTAACTTCCTTATTCCTTGCTACTCTGCCATCTGCCACCCTGCCCCCACAACTGTTCTCAACAGGGCCACTGGTGGGTACCACCCCAGGTGGCCCTGACCCAGGTGACCCTCCCTTCTCCCTGTGATGTCATACTCCTCCTTGCCCACCTTCATCTCAGACCCCTGAGGTTGGAGCTTTAGGATCTCCTCTAGGCTTTCTCCTCAAAAATTTGACTCCCATCAAACGCTGATGTTTCACAAGTCTAGTCTCCAACAGGTTCATCCAACGGCCTATTAGCATCCACCAGATGTTGCAGAGACTGCTCAGTGTCAACAAGGCCAAAACTGAATCATCTTCCCTTGAACTCACTTCCCCATATGTCCCCTCTTCTCAGTGAATGGCAACCCCATCCATCCTGTTCCAACCTGACCTGGGTTCTGCATAAAAAATCAATATTTGCTCAGTGAGCAATGAATCTACTCTTTCTCCTCTATAGACAGATCTTTCCTCATTCTCCACAGCCAATCACCAAGTCCAGTCCATTCTACCTCCTGAGGTTACTTCCTATGCGTCCTTCTCAAGTTTCCCTGGACCCCCAACCCGGCCGTACAGGGATCTTGCGGAGAGCGCCATCGCACAAGCCCGGCCTGCCCCGCTCTGCCACCCGCACTGTGCACTGGCAGCTCCAGTCCACACGCTCCGTGGCCCAGCACTTAACAGGTGCTGGTAAAAACGACTGAGCTCAGCGGGCGAATGGAATCTTGAAGGAAAGGGACCAAAGCGGGCAGCCCCTTGCAACTACGACCCGCACCGAGACACCAGGCGTCTCCTGGCAACCAGACTCCCGCGCGCCCACTTAGGTGTTGGGCAAGAGCCCCGCCCCTCTCACGCGGCGCTCCCGGCAACCAATGGAAACCGTCTGCGGGGCGCCTTCTCTCAAGCTATACGCGGAGAAACCAATAGCACACCGCAGAGCTGTAGGCGCGCCTCTCCTGCTTCTCCACCAGCCAATGAGAACAGTCGGCATGCCCTTCAAGGGGGCGGAGCGACCGCTGCGGCCCGGGATCCCTCCGCCGCTGCACGGCGCGGGCCTTCTCCCCAGGTCTGCCGGTCCGGACCCAGAGAACCTCGGCCCCCGGCCCGTCCACAGTAAGGGGACTATGCTCGTCAAGCGCAGCCTTGACTTTCTGCTGGGCTTCTACTTTCTCTCCCACATCCCCATCACCCTGTTTTTGGACCTGCAGGTGGTGCTGCCGCGACAATTATACTCGGTCAAGGTGAGGAGTGCCCCGTGGTTCCCCGCCCGCTGGCCCCTCGAGTTCGAGACCCCTCGGTGCGCTGTGGGTGTCCCCTGGCGTCCCATAGAACCTCTTCTGGCCGGGCGCGGTGGCGCACGCCTGTAATCCCTCAGGCTCGGGAGGCTGAGGCTGGAGGATCGCGAGTTCAAAGCCAGCCTCAGCAATGGCGAGGCGCTAAGCAACTCAGGGAGACCCTGTCTCTAAATAAAATGCAAAATAGGGCTGGGAAGGTGGCTCAGTCGAGGGTCCCTGAGTTCAATCCCCGGCACACACACACACACCCCAACACCAAAAAATAACCAAAAGAACCTCCTCTGGCACGTTTCTCCTTCCCGCCTTCCTTGGGACCTGCCAGTGACCGACACACTTCTTACCTGACTTCCATTCTGCGTCTTCCTGGCTTTTTGTTCATCTGCCCCAGTCCCTTCTCCCACATTGCAAGGTACAAACGTTTTGTTTGTTCCCTGAGTATGTGTAATGCTGCATAGTTTCACCTGTGGTCAGTTGTCAGTGTTTGAGGGAAGTAGTTTGAATGAACCACTCTCATCACCTGTTGGATTCAAAGTTGTGGTTTTCTTTCCGAGCGCGGTGGCGCTCGCCTGATCTCAGCAGCTCCGGAGGCTGAGTCGGGAGGCTCGGGAGTTCAAAACCAGCCTCTGTAATTTAGCGAGCCCCTAAGCGACTCAGCGATCCTGCCTCAAAATAGAAAATAAAAAGGGGCTAGGAATGTAGCTCAATGTAGAGCGCCCTTGGATTCAATTTGCAATACCAAAAAAACCCGAAGCTCAAGAATAAATAAATTACCAGCCGGGGGCATTGGCGCACGCCTGTCATCTCAGCGGTTCGGGAGGCTGAGGCAGGAGGATCATGAGTTTAAAGCCAGCCTCAGCAATGGCGAGGCGCTAAGCAACTCAGTGAAACCCTGTCTCTAAACAAAATACAAAATAGAGTTGGGGAAGAGGCTCAGTGGTCAAGTGCCCCTGAGTTAAACCCCAAATACAAAAAAAAAAAAAAGGTAAATAAATTATCAACACCTTTCACACTGCCATTATACTTGGGTTTGAGTAAGAATGATCACCTGGGTGAAATGTCACATCCCTACCCCAACCCCCCTCCACCCACCTTCCCCTTTCCTGGCTATTGGAGAATCTTTTTTGCTTTTAAAGTATTCAGAGCTACACTTGGTTTTTTTTTTGTTTTGTTTTTTGTTTTTTTTGAGAGAGTGAGAGATAGAGAGAGAATTTTTTTTTAATATTTATTTTTTAGTTTTCGGGGGACACAACATCCTTGTTTGTATGTGGTGCTGAGGATCGAACCCGGGCGGCACGCATGCCAGGCGAGCGTGCTACCGCTTGAGCCACATCCCCAGCCCCTACACTTGGTTTTTTGTTTGTTTGTTTTCTTATCTGAGTTTTTGTTTTGTTTTTCCTTTATCTTGGCCATGTAATCTCCTTCTGCGAAATTCCTGCCCTCAATTCTGTGTTTCTCCAAACTTTTGATAGAACTGGGCAAGACTGACTCCACTACCCAAAGACTTGATTTTTCCTTTCCTTTCCAGGAGCATTTTACCTCTGAGCTACAAAGTCCCAGTCCTCCTTTCTCCACCCACCTATCCCTGCTTTTTTTTTTTTTTTTTTTTTTTTTTGAGGCAGAGTCCGAGTTGTCCAGGCTTGCCTAAGACTTTAGACTTGAGATCCTCCTGCCTCCAGAGTCACTGGGATAACAGTCATGTGCCACCATTCCCCACCTAAAGATTTGATTTTTGCCTCACTTTCTCCTGAACTGCTTTTTCTCTGCAGATCAACTAGTTGTCTTTGGTGCTGGAGATTTGGGGTTTGAATTCAGGCATGCTTTACCTAAGAGCTACATGCCCAGTCCTTTCTTTTGAGACAAGCTCACTAAATTACTGAGGCTGGCCTTCAACTTGTGATGATCCTGCCTCAGCCTCCTCAGTTGCTGGGATTACAGGTGTGTGCTGCCATGCCCAGTTTGTGAAGCAGTTTTGTTTTTTTCTTTTTTATTTATTTTTATGTGGTACTAAGGATCGAACCCAGTGTCACACATGCTAGGCAAGCGCTCTACCACTGAGCCACAACTCCATTCCCTGCAAAGCAATTCTTCATCTGAACTCCTTGAGCTTGCAGTAGTGTACACAAAATTGCATGTGCCCTGTGTTTCCTAGAAGAGTCAACTTTTCCAGGGTCAAACCCTCCCAAAAAGGTTAGAACTCAAAAGTATACCAACTCCCATAAGTCTCCTTTTTGCTCGCTTTTAGAACTAAGCATAACTGGAAAGACTTCTGACCTCATTTCCATGGGAAAAGCTCAGGCGGGTATGTAGCAAGAGCATTGTGCTACACTCTGGTTACTCCGTTCTTCAGAAACTAGCCAAGTGGGTGAGTCCCCTGACTCACCTGTAGCCTCTACTTTTAAATAGGAGTTTAAATTATAAGCTCAAATATACATAAGTTGTAAGTTTAGGGATGGAGCTTGATGGTACAGCACTCACCTAGTACACAGACCCTGAATTTGATCCCCACATGTGCATACATTGTAGTAATTTCCTACTGCTACTTGAACAAATAATCACAAACTGGTTCCTTTCAGATTTATTCTTTCACAGTTCTGGAGGTTAGAAGTTCAAAATGAATCTTAAAGGATGTCATTAGCGCTGGTTCCTTCCCGAGGTTCTATGGGAGAATGGTGTTCCTCATTTTGTGGCCACACCACATTAATCTCTTCTTCAGATCACCCCATTGCCACTTTCTTTTATTTGGTCAAATCTCCCTCTGCCTTACTTTTATGAGGTTACTTGTATTGCCTTATCTATGGTTTTTGAAACCTGTGTGGCCACAATTCAGGCCGGCTGCCTATTTATAATTTCTCAATATAATAGATAGGTCCCTTAAATACTTGGGAATTGACATGTTACTCCACGTAGCCATTCCTGACTTAGGAGCCTGTGGTTTATCCTTTCTGCCATTCCCCATCCTTGCTCACCACTTACAAAATACTACTAAAATGTGCCCAGCATCATGAAGACCCCATTTAAACGTGTGTCTTTGGTTGGGCAGATTATACTCCGCTTTGGATCTGGGAGTTTAGCTCAGAGGTAAACTAAAAACCAAGTAACCAGCACCTCGCATGTACAAGGCCCTGGGCTTGATACCCAGCATCAAAAATAAAAAGATTTGAAAAGGCGAATAACCAATGCAGATAGGATCTGGCTAGAAACTATGTAATTATTTCTTGTTGGTTTCAATCAAATCACTTGGAAAAACTCCTTCTTTATTATGAAACAGTAGAAGAATTTAGTATTGGTTAACACATGGGAAGCATTTTGTAGTATCCTTTGCAGCTAGATAAAATGTTTCTGTTAAAATAAAAACAGGTAGGTGTCTGTCCTTGTTCAGAATTAGAGAAATACAAGATTTCACAGCAAACTTTGGCTTAGAAAGCCATGCGTGCAGGCCCCGTGAATCTTTTTGTGGTGCTAGGGCTGAAACCCAGGGCCTCACACCTGCTAGACAAGTACACTACTGCTGAGCTACAGCCCAGCCCGGTGAATTTTCATGGATATCAGTGATGACTTGAGTCAAATGTAAGTCAGCTATAAATGGAAACAATTTTTTAAAATATTTTCTTTAGTTGTAGTTGGACACAATACCTTTATTTTATTTATTTATTTTTACGTGGTGCTGAGGATCGAACCCAGCGCCTTGCACATGCTAGGCGAGCGCTCCACTGCTGAGCCCCAGCCCAAATGGAAACAATTTTATCACATTCTTTTGGGGAGAGGGATCTTAAGTAATATGTAATTATTAATGACCAGTTAGTTGCATGCCAAGATTTTTTTTTGGGGGGGAGGGGTTACCAGGGATCAAACTCAAGGACACTCAGCCACTGAGCCACATCCCCAGCCCTATTTTGTATTTTCTTTAGAGACAGGGTCTCGTCTCGCTCTGAGTTGCTTAGCACCTTGCCGTTGCTGAGGCTGGCTTTGAACTCACGAACCTCCTGTCTCAGCCTCCCAAGCCTCTGAGATTACAGGCATGCGCCACCGCACTTGGAAAATGCCATGCCAAGATTTTTATTAGAATTAACTTGAACATCCCCAGATATATATTAATTACATCCAGTCAAGTAATTTTAGGTGCTAGCAATTGTTCTAAAGATGACAAGTGTTGCCACAGTAATATTGGCCCTATTTTATCAATGGGGAAATAAGGAGTGCACTTAAGGGTCTTGTCCAGAGCCAGGACTCAGCCAAGAGCTCTGCCTCTGGCTCCCATGCTCCATGCCACTCTGCCGGGGGCCTGGGTCTTGTCTTCTGCCTACCCTTTGTTCAGCTCATGTTATGGCATCAGGTGGTTGGTTTTTGCCTGTGGGCAGTGGTTCCTAATTACTAGGGGAGTGAAGTGACTAGATTTTTTTTTAATAGTTATTTTTTAGTTGTAGTTGGACACAATACCTTTATTTTATTTATTTTTATGTGGTGCTGAGGATCGAACCCAAGGCCTCACATGTGCTAAGCAAGCGCTCTACTGCTGAGCCACAACCCCAGCCCCAAGTGACTAGATTTTTAAATTTTGCTAATCTCATCCTGCAGCCTAGTGCCCTAATAAGCCGACCTTGATTTATGAAATAGGTGAATCGAAGATAAAGTTCAAGTGGACCAGAATGCCTTTCAAGTTCTGTGCTAAATCTTTGTTTTGTTTTTGTAATACTGGGGATTGAGCTTAGGTTGTGTATTTTTTGTTGTTTTGGTTGGTGGTTGTTGGGGTTTTGTTTTGTTGTTGCTTTTGTTTGGACAGGACCTTGCTAAGTTGCTGAGATTCAAACTTGCAATCCTCCTGCCTTAGCCTCCCAAGTCACTAGGATTACATGCATGTGTCACCATATGCTGCTGCAGTAAATTTTTTTTGCTTTCCTTTTTTTCCCACGTTTTTTACTAGTGCATCATAGTTGTACATAATGCAGTAAATATTTTAAAGCACATAGTTTTCCCTAATACTTTTAAAAATAAATCTAAAAACAAAAAAATCATAAATCACTTAGTTCAACTTGCTCATTTTACAGATAAGGAAACAGAGCCCTGAAGAGGAGCAAAAACTTACTCCTTTTGAGTTTTCCTACCACATTACTATCCTGAAAGTGCTTAGGAGGTGGCAGAGGGCACTACCTTGCCATGAATTCAGAGTTCACATTAAGAACAGACTAGAGGGGCTGGGGATGTGGCTCAAGCGGTAGTGTGCTCGCCTGGCATGCATGGGGCCAAGGTTCGATCCTCAGCACCACATACAAACAAAGATGTTGTGTCCACTGAAAACTAAAGAATAAATTAAAAATTAAAAAAAAAAAACAACTAGAGATCATTGGTCAATAGACTAGTCAACAGACAGAACCTTTCTCAAATTAATATTGTGCCAATAGAATATTTGTTTCTGGATGTTTACCTCTATTTCATAATAGTGAACCTTTATCTTTTGATTAAATATTAACAGGAGAAAGGTCCTTGAATTTTCTAATGTAAGATAAAATTCTTAACCTCGGAGTTGCTTTATATTTTGGGAGGTGAGGGGCAGGAGAGGTTCTGGGGATTGAACCACCCGGCTACAACCTCAGCTGTTTTTATTTGAGACAGGGTCTTGGCTGAGTTGCTGAGGCTGGTCTCAAATTTGTAGTCCTCCTGCCTTGGTCTTCCAAGTTGCTGGGATTGCAGACAGTGCCCAGTTGATGGAGTTGCCTTCATTCATGATAAGACACTGTTTGGCTTTGAAACATGTGTTGGGACAGTGCCACCTCCTGGAAGCTAACTGTGATAGACCTTGGTAGTAAACCCAAGCCTCTAGGCTTTAGGCTCCTGTAAAACACAGTGGGCATCTCAGACTCTACTGCTTCCTTCCTCTGCCTATGGCCGCTTCAGCATGGATCTGCTTCCCCTTATTTGATTGTAAGGGTGGGGCCCAAACTAGAGCTGAGACCACTAAGTCAAGCCTTGACAACCTAGCAGCTATATGGTTTGAGGCAGTTCATTCATCTACAAATATCCTACTGGTCTTCTCAAAGAAAAAAAAAATGGGGAGGGGGGCTAAAGTTAAAAACAATGAGGAACTTACTTGTGATATTAAAGTATCCAAATTTACACCTCCACATAGGTTAGATTTATCCTCTCCCCTCTCACAACCACCTTCCTCCACCAAAAAAAGAAAAGAAAGAAATAGAAATTCAACTTATTTCTGCATTGAGGGAATCTGCCATTTGAAGTTGGGTGTAGTTATTGTGAAAGGGAAAATGTCAGGATGATTTTCACATTTCTTGTTTCCTTACAAAAAAGGATGTCAGCAGAAATGTCATTTTCCTTTAGCAAACATCCTGAGAGCCTACTGTGTGTCAGCCGTCTGTTGTTCTTGACAGTGGGCAACATAATCTGAACTTGTGTTGTTATGGAGTTCTTAAATTCTGGGTAGCATAAAGAAGGGACTGGAAGAGTTGAGGAAAAACTTCGCAGAGAGGGTAACATTTGAGTTAGAGCTAGACTATGATACAGAAGCCAGCTGGTATGCCACCTGCCGCCAAAAGGACTGGACAGTAAAAGACTACCAGTTATCCCTAAATGAACTGAAGATGCTGAACAAGCCAAGTGCTGTAATTCCCCATGATTATCATCTTGTTTTCAGCTCAGAAACCTGCTGGCTTGGTATGCTGAAGAGTTCAAAGACCCTCTGATACAGAGCACCCCAGTGTGGTTCAAGTCCTTCGTGTTTTGTGAGCTTTTGTTTCAGCTGCCCTTCTTTCCCGCTGCAACATATGCCTTCTTCAAAGGTTGGTAAATGGTGGGGAAAATCTCCTTTTTTCTCAGAAAGCAAGCCCCAGAAATTTTTTGAGAAAGTATCTCCAAGATAGAGGGGCATAGTCCCTGAAGTTTGCACAAGGGCCCCATAGGATCTGGTGGAAGCAATCAGGATAAACTGGTAAAGAGACATTAATTTGGCTCAGACCATCTGGTCAACTGAGGCACATGGCTACCTCAGTTATCTGGAAATCTCTCCCATTACATTTAAAGATTGAATTTGTCATCCCCTGACCCCACCATTGAGTCTCTCAACCATTGGCTTTACTGCTCTACTTTGAATAGTATCATACTGACCTACAAGCAGTAGCATCAAGTGAATTCATAAAAGGCTTAACTTCTCATTTAAAAATTATTCTTACATGTTCTTATATAATTAATGCCCTTATAAATAAGAAGCCATACCTCTGTCCTTAGTAACTAAGCTCATACAGCTGAAAGTGCCTACTGGAGTTTACCAGAGGCACTGGATCCAACTGCAGGCCTCTTGCCTATATATGATGACTTCACAGGCGGGTGCTGGGACAGGGATGTACCTCCCTTTGCATTTTAGACCAAATGGATAATGGGAGTTTTACTATCCTAGAGTTCTGCTGAGTTATATTCTGACCCTCACTCTTGATTTCTCTGGCAAGTCAGTGAGCTAGGGTCCTAGCTCTCAACTAAGTTTATGTGTTGGATAGTGTAACATCCAGTTTTCCATTTTTTTTCTGAGTTTCTACCTGGAGAAAAGCACAGAAAGGGAACAGGCCAGCAGAGACAGGGCAAAGAACATCTCAGACGTCCCAGAAGCCATACACAGATCTAACCATCCTTTTCTCTTTCTTTGCTTCAGGAAATTGCAAGTGGATCCGTATGCCTGCAATCATCTACTCAGTTCACACCCTGACAACATTAATTCCAATTCTCTCCACATTTCTATTTGGGGATTTCTCCAAAGCCAGTGGTTTCAAAGGAGTAGGTCCTGAGAGTTTTCATGAACGAATAACCCTCATGGCCATCTATGCCCCCTACTTTATCGTTCCCTTCATACTTCTGTTGTTCATGTTGAAGAACCCCTACCGGGAGGAGAAAAGAAAGAAAAAATGAGGGAAACAATCACTGACCCAGGAAGAGACATTCACAGGGCAGTTGCCCCTTTTGACCCAATACAAGAAAAACTACTCTGAACCCATGTCTTCAGTAGCATTTGAAACACGAACAGCAGTACTTAAGAGCAAGATGGTGGCAGGAGCCACGTCAAACCTTTATCTTCCAAGGGATGAACAGATCCATCAGCAGGGGTGGCGGGCAAAGGAGAGTGGGGTGTCGTTGAAAAGTCGTGCCAAATACCTTATCATGTGCCCAAGTTCCATTGCAGGATTTCTAAGAGCAGGATCAGACCAGAAACTGAGTAAGCTCCCTCAAAACATGGCCTCCTTGACTCATTCATGAGGCATCTGACCCACAGCATATACACATGACTGAACCTTTGACTCATGATTCACTGTAGCCTATCAATCACCAATCCAAAAATAGTGGAGTGTTTCAGACCATTCAAATTAGAAATTGTGCCTCCTTAATATTCATTAAAAACCATGTTTTCTTGGCCCTACCTCTACCCCTGGGAGAAAAAAGGGAAAATATTATGCAGAAGAGGTTTTCCTAAGGTTCAGCCTCAGCATGATTTGTCAATCAAACAGGTTAGACTGGAAGGTGTTTGTTTCTTAAACAGGTCATCCCAAGAGATTTTAAGTCACCTTGTTCATCTTATTTCCAAATCTTAGACATGTATATTTTTAAAGACCACCTGGGACAGTTCCCTTCATTCTGAAGTCTGGCATCTAAGGACTGTTCTGGAAGTGTGCTCCCTAATGGACAGCTTCATCCTTCCTAATACAGTATGGTCATTCCTACCCTGTTTAGGGCTGGGGATAGTTGGGTGTGACAAGCCCAACGTGTGCACGTCAGGTCTCTTCACATTAATGCTCAGCATTCCATCAGGGTTCTCTAAATCTACTTGAGGCCAACACTAAAGAGGGTAAATGAAAAGTCCTGGTCAACTCTTTTTGTCTTTTTTGTTCACAAGTCATACTGGTCTGACTGTTGGTACTGACTCTGGTGAGACTGGTCCAAATAAAGGCAGCTGCTGACCACTGCCTGATGTGTTTTGTGGACTGGGAATTGAGCATCCAGGGTTCTCTCACAAGGGGTGAAAAAGGCAACTAAGCCATTTGAAAACAATAGTTTATTGCTTTTTTTTTCCCAAAGCTTTGTAAGTTTACAAAAAAGAGGATCAAAGTTTACAGGCTGCTTCATTCCTACTAAGAATGTAAGAGGTGAGAACCTGCCCAGCATGGCCACTGGCAGTAGCTGTTCACTCACTCATTCCAGTCCTACCCCTGGACTGCATTACTGCCTTCAGAGGGCTGTGTTCCTTGCACACTGTCATGACGTAGGTCATTAGTCAAGTCACTGGAATGGTACAGAGGTTTTTTGGTTTGGGGGCTTTTTTGCCTTCCTGGTATAAATGAAATTTTCAGTTCATTTCTGAAAAATAAATTGGTCAATAAATTCATTTTGTTCTGCTTCTACTTTACACAAAGCTTCATATTCAACCCGATACCTGAAAAACAAAATTATTAGAAGCCCTGAAAAAGATGAAATAAACTACAGACTTAAGTCTTCTAGAGAAGACTACAGAGGTTTAAATGATTCTAAGAAATGGTGAGTTCAGAATGAAGTTAGGGCAAGAAAGAAAAACAGGCAAAGTCCTACCCATAGGAAATCTCCAAGGCTGGGTTGTGGCTCATGGGGAGCACTTGCTTCACATGTGTAAGGCCCTGGATTTGATCCTTAATACCAGATAAAAATAAATAAGGGCAGGGTTGTGGCTCAGTGGTAGAGTGCTTGCCTAGCACATGTAAAGCACTGGGTTCAATCCTCAGTACCTCATAAAAATGAATAAAATAAAGCTATTTAAAAAATAAAAGGCGGGACTGAGGCTTTAGCTCAGTGATAAAGTGCTTGCCTCACATGTGAGGCACTGGGTTCGATCCTTAGCACCACATGAAAATAAATAAAGATACTGTGTGTTCATCTACAACTAAATAAATATTTTAAAAATAAAAGGCATGCTATCCATCTACAACTACCAAAAAAAAAAAAAAAAAAAAAAAAAACTCCACCCCTAACAAAGTTACCTCTGGGAGCCAGCCAACTGGCCCCTTGCTATCTGAATTTTCATACTCAAACCTGGTCAAGGATGCTATAAAACCAATTTTCTGTTTTCTTCCCATCAAATGTAATTTTTTTTAATTTTAATATTTATTTATTTATTTTTTAGTTATTGGCAGACACAACATCTTTGTATGTGGTGCTGAGGATCGAACCCGGGCCGCACGCATGCAAGGCGAGTGTGCTACCGCTTAAGCCACATCCCCAGCCAAAGGTAATTTTTAAAAATTCTTCAAATCGGGTTGACTAGTGCAATGCTATTCCTGGGGAAATGATAATGAAGATGATCAAGAAGGAAAATAGAATCTAAGTGGAATGAAGAACCTGCTTCACATCATGGCTTCTTACCTTTCTAGCTGCATTTTCTTTTCTGCTATCAGTGCTTGAAGTTGCTGCTGTTGGGCTTCTCTCTGCTTTGCTATGGATTTGAGCAAGTTCCGAGCACCAATGGCCTAAGAAACAGAATCACCAAAGTTCGTGGCTTCATTAAAAATCTATAGCAGGAAGTCCTCAAAATAGGGGTGGGCCATCAGGAGTTATTTCAGTGCCCAGAGGGGAAAAGAAAGTGGCACACCAGGGCTTGGGGATAAGCCAAAAAGATGATTAACCTACCAATCAGAGTGCCTGGGGAGAACTGGCCTATAGCTAGGAGGCAAGTCCAGAGCTCTTCCCAGAGCCCTGCCTGCAGGTACTGAATGGCTGGCTGGCGGTGCCCTTCAGCCTCATGCCCTTTAAGTTATCTGCACCATGTAAGTCTTCATTTTTCCATGTATATAAGATAAAACCTGGGGCTGGGGCTGTAGCTCAGTGGTAGAGCGCTCGCCTAGCATGCATGAGGCACTGGGTTTGAGCCTTAGCACCACATAAAAATAAAAAAGCATTCTGTCCATCTACAACTACAAAAAAAAATTAAAAAGGACTTAAAATCAGCATTCTGTAGTGATATGGCCACATCAAGGTTTGTAGCAGCTCAATTCATAATAGCTAAGCTATGGAACCAACCTAGGTGCCCTTCAACAGATGAATGGATATAGAAAATGTGGTACATGTACACAATGGAATATTACTCAGCCATAAGAATGAAATTATGGCATTTAACAGTAAATGGATGGAACTGGAGACTATCATGCTAAGTGAAATAAGCCAATCCCAAAAAACCAAAGACCAAATGTTCTCTCTGATGTGCAGATACTAATTAAGAGTGGGGGGTTAGATTAGACAAAGGAAAATGAAGGGAAGGGAGGGGAGATGGCAATAAGAAAGAATGAACTGGACATAACTTTCCTATGTTCATATATGAATACACAATCAGTGTAACTCCACATTGTGTACAACCACAAGAATGGGAAGTTATACACCATGTAACATGATATGTCAAAATACATTCTACTGTCATGTGTAAGAAGAATAAACAATTTTTAAAGAATCTTATTATGATTAAAAGAACCCACTCATTCTCCCCCAAAAATGAAGAGAGCAGAGATTAAGAGAGTAGAGAATCAGCGCCCTGGGCCAGGCCAGAAGCATGCTGAGCTTACCTTCATTTTTTCATTTTCTGCTTCTTTTGCAAGTTGGTCAACAAGCTCAATTAGACCACCAACTATTTTCTGAAACTGGCCAATTTCTTTTGGAGAAAGAACAAAAAATATCTTATTTTCTCAGTACCATCACTCTCTCTCAGCACCCCCCTGAAGCAGTGAGGGCAGAACTGAATGCCCCTTTTAATCTATGTCAAAAACAGTTTGGTGCCTGCTGGTGCAAGCCTCCCACCCTTGGTCTGAACCTAGAGAAAGGTGGCCAGGGGCCCAGTGTTGGACCAGGGAATACCTAGACCTTGAGTTACCACCAAGCCAGCCACCTGCTGCTACTTCAGGCTACAAAGGCAGCAGGCTCCTGGTGGTCCACCTGGAGGACCCAATTCCCCAAGAGTGACAAGAAGCACAAAGCACAATTCACAAAAAAACTGTTTCAGAACACCAGTGCTACCTCTGGACTAGCCACACATACCCTAGATTTCAGTCAATGGTGGGGTGGGACCTTCCCACCAATAACCAGAGCCAAGTAAAGAGCTCACAGCATTTAAGTACTTAATCTCCCACTCACTTTTTTCAACATCCTTGGTATGCTGGAACCCCATTTTACTAGGGGAAAAAAGAGGTGAGACAATAGCATGCACATAGCAACCACAGACTGGCAATGAAACCCAAGCAACTTTCACCAGCTAAACTCTCTTCACAGCACAGGGAGGTCCAGAGGCTCAGAAATCCCTTGCTCCAGCTAATCTGGCTCTCTTCATCAGCACTGGGCTTGCTTGGCTGCTGGGACAGGAGATTCTAAAATCTGTAGCTCAAACATAACTTCATTAAGTCTGTTGAGCTGCCTCTGGAGACTTCAGTTAGCACCTCTCACTCCAAATAATGGAGCGCCTACCACTGAGAACACTTTCTATCAAGAAATCAAATAATGCATAATTCCCATTTCCCACCCCAAAGCCCTGGTTCTGCCCCATGAAGATTAAGGTTTTTGAGAGAGAGAAAAAAAAAAATCACAGATGGCATGTCAGAAAACACCCTCCTCTCCCAATGTGCTCAATACAGGATGACATGACAAGTATAAGAAGACAGCAGGGGGCTGGGGCTCGTTGGTAGAGCACTTGCCTAGCATGTGTGAGGCACTGGGTTCAGTCCTTGGCACCAGATGAAAATCTTAAAAAATTTTTCTTTTTTTTAAATAATAATAAGATGACAGCAGGTACATGAAGATTCAAAGCCAGGACCATTCTTGCAGCCAGGAGAAAGAGTGGGGTACAAATCCTACAGTGGGGTGCTGCTCAAAGATGAATAGTACTGTGTCTCCCCAAGTGATACTCACTGTCCACAAACTCCTTGCACTCTTCCTTGAGCTCTATGGTCTGCTGGGTTACCTCAGGGTCCAACACCCGCAACTTGTTCAGCTCATCAAAGTGCAGCCCTGCTTCACCCAGGATGTCCTTGGCCATAGCTACAGAGAAACCAGGCCCAGTCACTTCTCAGCCACTAAGGAAATACCTGCTGCCCGCCCAAGCCCACTCCTGCCCCCAGACACTAATGCCAAAACCCCTGATGTTCCAAAGAATCCCCAATCCCACTGCCTCCACCTCTCAGCCTCACCTGTTTCCCTTCCAGGTTCCCTAGAGAAGTTCTGTTCTGAAGGGGTGACAGTGGCAGAAGAGGTGTGCCATAGGAGCAAGGGTCAGGAAAGAATAAAGTCCAGTTGCTTGTCACAGGCATCGTTCATTCAACACACATTTCTTGAGTGCCTACTACATGCCAAGACTGCTAGATGCTGGGGGTACAGAGCTGAATGCAACATGGTGCCCGCCCTGGAGGAGCACATAGTTCAGCTGGAGGAAGATAGACAGGTAAACTGAAAAATTATGCTGTTAAGTGCTTTACCGAAATATCACTACAGAACAAGAAGAGAACAGAGCAGTTAACTTGAGTGACATCGGGACTGTTATGAGCCATAAACATATTTATATATCCCCATTTATGTACCAAAAAAGGCTTTTCAAATACATGTTTTGTGTTGTTTATGGAATAACATCAAAAGCAAATTTTTAAAATCTGGGTAAATTAAAAGGGTTAAAAAAATAAGCTATTTTTTTATGATGCAAGTCACTATACCGTTGCCCGAAATGGGAACCAAAGTTGGGTCAGTCTCTTCCTAGCAGAAAACACAAAAAAGAATGAAGTATCAGCAAGAACGTACCAAGTAAGGAGGCCAGGGAAAGGCATTCCAAGCAGAGAAGGCAGCATGGACACAGGTACAACGTCACTGAAAGGACGAGAAGGAAACTGGAAACTCACCCTCATTCTGGCTCAAAAACCAATTTTTTTAATACTAAAAATAAGTGAAATGTGCATGCTCTGTTCAAAAAGGGAAGTGATGGGAGACTAGCCCAGTGGTAGAGCACCTGTCTAGCAAATGTGGGGCCCTAGGTTCCATTCTCAACATCACAAAAAAAAAAAAGAAAGAAAGAAAAGGAGGAAATGCTAATTAGTTCTAGTCATTGGCTCTAGGCCCATTCCAAAACCCAGGTTTTTCAAAGACTATCATCACCTGTCCCTGCACCACCCCTTTCCTCTGCTCCCATCTCCCCCTGCCGCACCTGTTTCCCTTTCAGCTTTGTTAGAAAAGTTTGTTTCTGAATGGGATGAAATCGGAGAGTGGCTATCAGAAACAGATGTGCCACAGAAAGAGCCATGTTTGGAAAGAATTAAGTCCCTTGGGCTGGAGATGCCTCTCAGGGGCAAAGTGCATGCCCAGCATATGCAAGACCCTGAGTTCAATCCCCAGCACCAAAAAATAAAGAAATAAAAGAATTAAGTCCTACTGTTGCCACAGCACTGTGTGAGCCAACTAATACATGTCTTTGGGCTGTCTATATATGACTCTGGCCTTTGGCCACACTGGAATCAACTAAAGTGAGTTGATTCTTTCTTTTTAAATGTTTTAATCATTCAAAGCTTCCTTAAATCTGTCTTCCTGTTTGTTCTCTTTACACATTTAGTCGAAGTACTTAACAGTTACCAGGTAATCAATCAGACCAGATGCTCCAGAAAGATCCACATAACTTGATAGAGCAAACAAACACTTACTTCAACTTCCACTACCTTACCTGAGACAGTGCATTTATCCAGAAACTCCTAAGTCCCTGCTCTGGGGATAAAGAGCTGTTGAAAATGTCTCTGGACAGAGAGTGCACTAATCACAAATTATGATAACAGTGTGAGGAAAAGCACATGGTGCTATGTGAAGATGCAGCAGGACATAGCGTGGAGCAGAGGGATGTCAACAAAAGCTTTCTAAAAAAGTGATGTCTAAACTGAGACCTAAAGTCAAAAAGTTTGTGAGATGAAGGCAAGAGGGAGGCAATCTAAGCAGAAGAAAAAGCATATGAGAACATCCTGAGACTACAAAAAATCCGACACATTCCAAGAACTTAAAGACTAGTGTGATCAAAACAGTGAGCAAGAGAGAGAATGGATCAAGATGAAGCCAGACGAGGAAACCAGTGCTGGATCATGAAGGGCTCCAAAAGCTGCAGTAATGAGCTTGGCACCTGGTGGATTCTCAGCAAAGTGACATTTTCATTTAGGAAGATCACTGTGACTCAGTCTGGAGACTGGACTGGAGAAAACAAAAGAGTAGGGCCATGCTTACCTGATTCCTCACTGTCACCCTAGCACCTAGCATGGTGCCTGCACATAATTGGCACTCAGTTAATGTTTGTGGAATGAATGTCTGTGGAAATAGATAGAAGGCTACTGCAAAAACCAAAGCTTGCAGCTGAAGACAAGTGTTCTGAATTGAGATGTTTTCTAAGCTGAACTGATAAGAGAGTAAGGAAGTGAATAAAGGGAGTGAAAAAGTCAGGCATGATTCCCATAAATCTGGCTTGAACCAGTGTATGATTGAAGGGGATAGTTTAAAGAGATGGGTGAGAGATGGGTGAGATGGAGTAAGGGACAGAGAGAAGCTTCACGGAGGGCTATCGTATTCTTTCACAACTCACACCACACACGTGTCTGAGTATCTGAGGAACATAAGAGACCTGGGACTGAGCTCCCTAAGGATGAGGACGGTGATACGCTGTCCCCGCGTCCGGGCTCTCCCAGGTCCACGCTAGGCACTACCTACGGGCTCCACCAATGGGCTGTGGAAGAGGCACTGGACAGAAAGTCAGAAAAGGCCCGGGCGAAGGAACTAGCGGTCTTCTCTACGTAAACCCCACGGTGTTTCCGAGCCTCAGTTCCCTGCGGCTATCAACGGGCCACGCTTCAGGCGTCACTTGGGTGTGAAACCGCTCCCTAAGAGTCTGGCGGACTCTTTCCTTTCCGCCCGGGTCTGCCTTTTCTTAAGGCGGGAGCCTGTGAGATTCCTCTAGCCCCCGGTCCGCCTGCGTACCCCAACCCAAAATCACCTCTTACCTGCCCGCGCTCTGCGGCCGAGGGTGACGTTGGCAGGCAGCTTCTTCCTCCAGTTACCAGCACTCCGTACGTAACTCGCTCCCCTCGGCTGCTGCCACGGCTACAAGATCTGTTTACCATAGCTTCACTGCCTGACACCGGAAGCACTTGGCCTCACACATTCCCACAGAGCCTACTGGGAAATACTGCCTACACAACCCAGAAGCCTTTGCGCCAGCGAGGTCGCCGGAAGTAGCTGCGCTCTCACGGCGAGGGCGGGATGTACGGAAAGCTCGCAGAATTCTGACTCCGCCCCTGATCGGGGGCAGTGCATGCCGGGCCTTGTAGTCTCAGTTTCCCAGATAGGCAGGGATGGGCCGCTGCACCGGGAGGAGTCTGCTGGAGCAGGATGTGAGCTCACAGCCCGGGATTGCTGTTGGGCAGGCGGCTACAAGCTAGGGGCGGCAAGGAGTCGGTTGCCATTCAGCTGAGAGGAAGAAGCGCCCCCGGGGACGGTGAGAGCCTGGCCTGCCGATGCGGTAGGGGAAGGGAAGGGGAGGACTGGCCCCCAGACGGGTCAGGGGAAAAAGGGTTGGGACGGCTTAGGGGAGATGGAGAGTTCAAATCCTCCGCTGAGGGGTGGGTGTCTCAGTTTCTCGGTAGAAAGGCAGGGTGCGAGCTGGAGGAGAGCCTGCACTAGCTACAAGAAAGACTGGGCGTCGCTAATTTTTTCCTGGACTCTCTGGGTGAAGCGGCCACTTCACACCTGGAATTTCTGCTTTATCCGCCCTCTCTTGCCAAGCTCGGCTTCCCCTCCCCCGCCGTCCGCCGCGTGTGCCTTCTTCCTTTAGGACCCCATCTTCTTCCACCGCCGCGGTGATTTGTCCTTTGTTCTGCTTGGGTTCCCTTTAGCTTTGCTGAGTGAGACACGGATCCGCCCCTAACCCCAGGCATCCCCAAATATCCACAAACAAGTCCGGAAGGAAGAGCACTGAGGCTTTCAGTGGAAACTTCAATCTCACCGGAATTACTTTCTGGGGCGTCACCTGCCACAGGATTCCTGGCACCCATTGGTCTGGGTGGAATCTGGCATGACGTCATCCAGGGGCTTAAAGCAACTGCTTTGTAGGAAAAGAATAGATTAGCTCTGGATTTGACTTCCTCTCTTGGCAAGCTCAGCCATTGAGTTCCTTTGATTTGGCAGAAGTACATGTGTGTGTGCTTTCTTGGATACTGGGGGTATTGGGACTGGACACAAAATACATGAACTTAATAAAACCTTTAATTTTTCTTTCTTTTTTTTTTTTTTTTTTTTTTTGGGGGGGGGGGGGGGGGGTGTGTGCTGGGGATTGAACTCAGGGGCACTTGACCACTGAGCGACATCCCCATCCCTGTTTTGTATTTTATTTAGAGACAGGGTCTCACTGAGTTGCTTAGCTCTCGCTTTTGCTGAGGCTGGCTTGAACTTGAGATCTTCCTGCCTCAGCCTCCTGAGCTGCTGGGATTACAGGCCTCCCACACCGCGCTTTCCCGGCTAGCTAAAACCTTTTAAAGGGTGGAAGATAAAGTGATTTCATGCCATTCTAGTGTTACTTACTTATTAGACAGCATCCTAGGGTTCATCTCATCCATACCCCATCCCTGAGGCAAACCTCCAAAGGAATTGACTACTTCCGGCAGCACCCACTCTGGCCCTTCCCTGAACATTCTTCCCACAGACCTATCTAAATCTTTTCAGGGTTAATTTCAGTCTAACAAGCTGACATATATTGAATACTTAAAATGTGCATGGCATTTTTCAGGAAGCAGAACAGTTAACAGAATTTGGGAAAACCAGTACCATGCTTCTAGTGGCATTTATGAGAGATGATGAGCAGCCAGGTGCTGTGCTCACACGTGTAATCCCAGCAACTTGGGACACTGAGGCAGGAGGATTGCAAATTGGAGGTCAGCCTCAGCAACTTAGTGAGACCCTGTCTCAAAATCAGAAATAAAAAGGGATGGGGATGTAGCTCAGTGGTAGAGTTGCCATTCTCCAAATAAGGAAAGAATGGAAGGAGAGAGGACAGTAATTAATATAAAACCCAAACTCTATACTGTTATTTACCACCTTAGGTGCCTTCCCAGGCGTTCATCGAATCAACTTCCCCTGTTTTCTGCGTGCCAGCTACCATATCCTTATTTCTGTTCCTAAAACTCAATTCAAACAGGAACTTTGCACTTATTCATCCAACTGTCTAAAGTGCTCTTCTCAGACCTTAGCAGAAGTGTTATCTTTCCAGGTGCCTCTATCTAAATTAGTGCCTTCCTTGGTCACTCTCTTATCACTGTTTTATTCCCATCTCCTGAAGTTGTCTGTTTTCGTGTTTATAATCTGTCTTCTCCCACTTAAATGTAAGCTCCATGAGGACATGACTCTTCTGTATTTGCTTTCTGTTCCCAGTGCCTGGCACATTGCAGAAGCACAGTAAATGCTAACTCAAAACATTTTTTTAAAAAAAATTCTTGCTAACAGTTCTTTGACCTTTTTGAAGGCAAGACAATATATTTGCATAGTTCCTGCCTGAGTCAGCTTTCCACTGCTGGAACAAAATATACATATGAGAAAAACAACTTCGAGGAGGAAAGATTTATTTAGACTCAAGAGTTTCAGTCCATTATTGGTGAGCTCCGTTGCTTTGGAC